CTCCAATTCAAGAGCTGGTCTATCCTCATTAAGGAGACTATTATCCAAGTTTAAAGAATTCAGTTTATGCTCACATGAGTTAATTCCTAGAGCATACTCAAAGGTACCAGATTGAACATAGACAAGACCAAAATAGTTATCATCCTACATGCATGGGGCCAAACCATGAAACAGGGAATGAGAATAACTACCCAATAATTTCCCTTAAAATACTTATGAGGACCGAACAAAGGGGTGAAGGATAATGTTGAGATTTGGGACATTACCTCTTGTCAAATACACACACTAGCCAAATCGATTAGGAGACAACAACCTCTCCCCTCCAAGAGCTCCAACATCGAGCTCCTTGCACCTCCTTAAGGTAAACTCCAAACCGAACAAGGCAAAGGGAAGAATGAGTTTATACTAAAATCTGGAAATCTAAAGAAATTCCACAACCATCGAAGAGAGGATTGGAAGAGCAAGACAAAGGAAAAACACAACACCTCCTTGCTGCGGTTGTTTCGGCTGGTCAAATGGGCAAGAGGTGGCTGTGAACTTAGACTTGATTCTGTTTGCAGGAGAAATTCTCCTCAGCCGAAAGTGGTGGAATGGAACAAAGAGATAACCAAGAATTTTCTTCGCCCCTCTAGATATACCTTCAGCCGAACAGAAGAAGAATGGTAGTAGAAGCTAGATGATTGCCTTTGTGTAGGTACAGGTCACGGTTAAGGAGAGGGTGATGAAAGGAGAAGATGCATGCAATTTTCTCTTAGATGCTCACTCTTTATTCGTTCACGGTTAAGAGGGAGAAACGGGCCAAGCTTTTGTTTCTCATTTCACCACATATATCCAGCTTATGTTTTCATTCATACATCGCCACTTGAGGAAGAAAATAGAGGCTGGAAGCTGTTTGACATACTAGTACAGTCCAAACTTGCCTTGTCTTTCTCCTACACATGCGCACGGCTAAGGGTGAGGGGTGTATGGGGATTTCGACCAATGAGCTTTCAAGCAGGCTAGTCACTTTTCTTTTCATTGGGCAAGGCTTACAAATCTGACTTGCTTAGTTTCATTATACACTCAATCAAACTTTGCCCTTATCTTATGCGTACAAGAGAAGGAAGTGGTGAGGCAATGTGGGGTGTGGCTTACCATCCAATGAGAGCACATGCATTCTGATGCATGTTTTCTTCCTTGATTCAGCGCACAAGAGGTGTAAGGTAGAGGGGGATTTCTGCCCAATAAGAGCGCATGCAAGCTGCCAACCACACTCTCATTGGCTGCATGTCCTAATACTGAATGGGGTTGCCTAGTGTCACAAGTGTGCAGATTTCTTTCTTTAAGTGATGCCCTAAGCGCACATGTGGCTGAATGAGAATAGAAAGGTTTCCATGTGTGTATCACTCACCAATTAAGGACAACTTGGTAGGAATTTTAGGATGACATTAGGATATGTACGAGCTTGGCTGAACCTAACATACTCCCTAACATCCCCTTAGGGCCGTCGGCCATGAGACATTCAAGGGCCCAAAACTTTGCCCAAAGTTTTCCTACTCAATATTATTTAAGCCCTATTATATTATGTACTCTAATATAATACCTTAGGGTTTATTATTTTGTTACAGTAAAATTAATTACATACATTAATAATAAATACTTCCAATAATTCTTATAACAATTACACCTTCTGTGTTTCAATCAAATTAAATATACACTCATGACTAGGATGTCTCATAATTAAAATTAAATATACACTCATGACTAGGATGTCTCATAATTAAAATTAAATATTTGTTTTTCATTGGAATATGAATTGGTTCCATAATATAATTTAATTCCATCCTAGCATATACCAGCGCATAATTCTGAACTAAATGTCCTACACCTTCCTAATCGTACTTAAAATAAGGTTCTGGTTAGACGGGATGTTACACAATTCCTCCGGGTTGTAATCCAGTAGTGAACAATAACAGGTACGTTTGATTTTCTAAACCCTTAACTTGTCTTGCTTCTGCCTGAAAACGTTCATAATAATCTCGCAACTTTTCTCCGGACTTTTGTCTTACTCCGCACAAATTTTGCGTTGTTTTAGGCTAGCGTCCGCAATCACGAACCGTTGTGTTAAGTCCACCCAACTTTCTATGGAGTTATCTGGTAAAGCCGTAAACCACTCCAAAGCCTGTTTTCTCAAAAACACAGGAAATGTTCGACACAACAATGAATCTGATTCGCCACACAAGGACATTGATGCCCGGAACACGGTCACGAACTCCTTTGGGTCTGAACTTCCATCATACGCCTTCATGTCACTTGGTTGCTTAAACCAAATCGGGATTGGTTCTGCTCTAAGCCTCCCCGACAAAGGAGTTCCTGATGGTCCCTGATTAATGGGGGGCGCCAGAATCCCTTGTTGAGCTCCTCCGAGTTGTCCATTCCAAACGGGTACATCCTGCTCCCTATTGGCCATTTGTCTATTGCCATAATGAGGACCCCAGCCTTCTGCCTTCCCTGGTCCGTAATGCTGATAATCCCAATTTGCTTGTCGCCTTCCATCTCCTCTACTTTGATCTCTACCCCAGTAATGGTACTCGGTATCGTCTCGTGGAACTTCACCTTCTTCCGGCCTCCACCTTTGATAAGTTTCTTTATATCGACCTCTGTTTACCTCTCGTTCATCTCGCCGAGTATAACCTTGACGGGCTCCTAAATACTGTTCTTCCTCCCATGTCACCTCTTCTTCCACCTGTTCATCTTCACTATTTTGATATTTCCTAGCCCGGCCTGTTCTCCGGGCATAATCCTCAAGTATCCTTTCTCCTATCCGCGGATTTGCTCCTCGTCCTCCGCCTTGATAGCCTCCCCTTTCTGGAGAACCCCTTGACTCTTGACAAAGTTGTCATCTCCTCCCTTCATTCCTTCTATTTCCCCCCACTGTTGGAGGTGATAAAGGAATATATAGTTAGGAAGAGGAGACAAAGAATCTCGTCCTCTGTTGGGTGATTGCTGCTCATTCTCTACAAGATGCCTTTCCTCTGCTCCACGTCTCCTTTGCCCTCCTTCTAGATGTTGCCTATTCCTGATATCCTCCACTAACTGAATCAAAACTTCTCCAATGGTGTCTAGAGACCGATTCCTTCCACTGGATCGGAAAGAATCTTCCTCTCCTAGGTATCCTCCGTCGTCTTCCGCTCCCTCATCATGGTAATTGCTTGCCATGACTCAAGAATATGCATAGGAATCTTTTTACCTTTTACCACAGACAGCGCCAAATGTTCTGTATGAACATTAGTATGATTATTGTCTATCCCCTCTGTTAGTTATGGTCTTTGGTATATATAACCCTTCCATATGTGGTTATTGTGAACGTGGGTAGTTATAGAAACCCATCATGTAATCGTGGTAGGGCCCACTTTGGGTTATAGTATTTTGGCCGACTTCCCTTCCGGGTAAAAACCCCATCCGGGTTCTATCAACTCTTCTCCTTGACTATTGATACCCGGATGTATAAACCCGGAACAATTGTCGTTTAAGGTTTTAGACAAGGGTTGTGAAAATAATTGAATATATTTAATTTTAGGGAAATATAATTTTTCTAAGTTCGGGATAAAGATGTTGATGTTGATGTTGATAATTATATTTGACTAAATTACCCTTTCACATAATTAATGTGTTTTAATTCCACTTACTCGAGATACAAAAAAAAAAGAGGTAAGGATAAGATTGAAAAAAAATTAATGCCTTTTTTGTTTTCTAAAGTGACAGACAATTTGAAATGCAGGAAGTATATTGGATGCTTAATGGGGTTAGGGTAGTTAACATTAAGAACTTAATCTGTTACTTGTTTTTCATTGGTGTACTTAATTTTTCCACTTAGTTGAAACTGAATAATACAGTTTTTGTGCTTGTTTTATGTTATTGATCATTTCATCAACCAAATAATGTTGTACTTAATCTAATTACTATCATTATTGTTTTTCCTAATCCCACGTTACTTTGCAGAGGCTTTTGAGCAGAAGTATGATCCTAGTGTGTCTGCAGAAGCTAATGAAGGAGATGGATTTAGAGATTTAGTGCGGCATACCATGTTTGAAAAAGGTCAAAGTAAATGCATATGGGGTGAGCTCTACAAAGTGATAGATTCTTCTGATGTTGTTGTCCAGGTAGTGTCTCATCTTTTTGCTGAGATTTTGTTTAATTTTTCACATATGTCTATGTTGACTGATACTAACATGATGTGCATGTGTGTGTTTCCATTAGATATTATGATTTTGTATCTTAAGGTGAAAAAATGTGCATTATGGTGGGCATTTCTGCTTCAAATTTGCATGTTATCTATCTTGCTCTGTCAATTTAAACATTATTTTGATTTTTAATAAAGTTTGTCTTTGTCATGGGTAAAGTATAAAAGCTTGGTAGCTATAACGTATTCCACTTTTTTAAGCATTTTCGTTATATTGTTGTTTAAACGAAGAATGTAAAGAAAGGGAAGAGAGAATTAGCGAATCTAAAAAGACTGAGTTTCAAAATTGTGAAAAATGATAACCACACTTTATAGAATTACACAGGGGTCTATTTATAGACCTACTGAACTAAGCTAACTTCAGAGAGTTAATTGACTATACAATATTAACTCACTGAGTTAGAATCTAATAGAAAACTAAGTCAGTTACAATTAGTTACAAGTCAGTTACTTTGTTGTAAGTTGTAACTGATTTTACAGGATATAAACTGAGCTACTCTAATATTCTCCCTTTCAAGCTCAAGGGGGTTTGGTTAGCATTGCATGATCCAAGACCTTGAGCTTGTCTTTGAGATCTGCAAATCCGGAAGTAGAAAGAGGCTTAGTGAAGGTGTCAGCAACCTGTAGGGAAGATGGAACATGCTGCACAATGAGGGACTTAGCCAGAACTTTTTCCCTGACAAAGAAGACATCTGGCTCCATATGTTTTGTTCGAGTGCAAAACTGGATTATGAGCAAGAGCAATTGTGCTCTGATTATCACATTAGATGACATGGACTTAAACTGGAATTTGGAGCTCTTGCAAAAGAGATTGCAACCACAAAATTTCAGCTGCAACATGGGCTAAGCTTCGATACTCAGTTTCAGCACTTGAATGTGCCACTAGGGATTGCTTCTTAGCCCACCAAGAGATGAGATTGGAGCCTAAGAACACACAAGCTCCAGAGGTTGATCTTCTATCATCCGGATCTGAATCCCAATCAGCATCACAAAAGGCCACAAGTGAGAGAGGGTGTTGTGATGAAGGTGGATGAAATACCAGACCATAGGATAAAGTGACATTGAGATACCTCAAAATGCGTTTAACAATTTTCCAATGTTCCTCAAGTGGCTGGGATAAAAATTGACAGACTTTATTCACACTAAAGGAAATTTCAGGTCTTGTTAATGTAGCATATTGCAGTGCTCCAACAATGGACCTGTAAAGCGAGGGATCAGGTACATAGTTAGAGCCAAATTTGCTTAGCTTGCATCCACTAGGCATAGGAGTGGAAATTCCTTTAGCTTCTGCCATTCCAGCTTTGTAAAGAAGATCTCTAATATATTTTGATTGAGATAACAGTATCCTTCCATTGGAGAGATGTTTAACTTCGATCCTAAGAAAGTAGTCCAGATTTCCAAGCTGTTTTAAGGCAAATTTAGAATGCAATTGATCAATTAGAAGTTGTATTAAGTCAGAATTGTTTCTTGTGATGATAATATCATCCACATAAACTAGAATATAGGTGCAGCTGCCATTAGAGCGAAGAATAAAGAGAGAGGGGTCACATTTGCGAGAAATGAAACCAAGATGATGAAAGAGTATCTCCAAAATTTTCCAACCAGGGATGGGATGAAGTAGCATCGGTATGTGGACCAGATCTGGTAATATAGACTAGGAGACATTTGAATTGGTTCTTATTGCTGCAGTTGGTGACCCTGAGGTAGTGGTCTGAGGAAGTGATGGAGAGAATGTATTAGGAGAAGTAGAAGCTAGTGGGATGATATTGCTTGAGTATCGGTATGTGGAATTATTTGGGATGCTTGATGAGGTTGAAAGAAAATATGAATGGAAAGGAAGAAATATGTGTTCATTAAAGAGTACATCTTTAGATATGTAAATTTCTCCATCAAGAGTTTAGGCATTTATAACCTTTGTGACTGGGTGAGTATCCCAGGAAAACACATTCCTGAGATCTGAAATCAAATTTGTGCTTATTGTATGGACGAAGTAGAGGAAAACAAGCACATCCAAATGTGCGAAGGATTTTATAATTAGGAAATGTTTTATAAAGTTCATAGTAGGGAATTTTGAAGTTTAAAGCTGATGTAGGCAGTCTATTTATTAAATAGACAGATGTAAGAAAAGCATGATCCCAGTACTTAAGGGGAAGGAAAACATGTGCAAGAAGAGTCAGTCATATGTCAACAATTTGTCCGTGTTTTCTTTCAACTAACCTATTTTGATGATGAATATGAGGACAAATCAGTCTATGAATTATTCCCAAGTCTGTAAGAAATTTTGTGAAGGGTCTAAATTCACCACCCAGTCAGTTTGGACAGATTTGATGCTGTGTTTAAATTGAGTGGAAACAAAGGAGTGAAACTGTTTGAAGATGCTTAATGATTCTGATTTTTGTTTGAGGGGATAAATCCATGTATACCTTGTTGTAACATCAACAAATGTAATATAATGCATAAAGCCTTGAGATGAAGGAATGGGTGCAGGTCCCCACAAATCACTAAAAATAAGTGCAAAGGGCTCATTATATTATGTGGAAGAAGGAAAATTAGATAAAACTCAATTTTGTAACACCCCAAATTTCTAACAATTTATAAAACAATCTTAAAATAAATAAATTGTCAAAATTCATTTTTTTTTACAATTATAATAATAGAAATATTGTGGAAGCTAATCTAAATC